TATTTCCAAGTTATCTCTGTCATGGAAGTGCAATTTGTAATTCTCTTTGCTCTGGCCACAACTTTTTCAACATAGCTTCCCAACAGTGTCATGCATTTTCTTCTAAACATTATGTTCTAGTTGTGTGACTAACACTGACAAATTTGTCTGTAATAAACGTCTTCCTTGACCAGTCTGTCACCACTTCCCCTAAATACAGGGTGGTTCTAAACAAGTGATGTTTCAGAGACACTCCTCATCAGTGTCTGGGCGTTACCTCAAAATCTGGCCAAATAACTTTTACAGAGTTCAGTAAACTCTTTGGGCTGAACAAGGCTGATTTCATTTTTTGCTTCAATCACAATCATCTAATTGTTGTGACTCTCAGTCATCTTAGGGAAAAATTGACAGAAGTTACTCAAAATGTTTGTGCAATGTAGCCTAGTTGTATGGCAACAGAAAGTAAATCACTGAAAAAACAAATTTTTTAGTGAAAGAATCATGATAAGTATGTGACTAAGAAATGTCTCTATTCAAACAGTACTTCATATCCGGCCAATTACTTGAAAAAATGCTCAAAGTATTTTTAAACCTGTTCTCTAATACTACAAACTTTTAAATTGCTTGCGGATATATTTCATGTGGCTTATTTATTAATGTTTTTCATTCTCAACACAGCAAAAGGCTTTGAGAGTTAGTAACAACTGAGGTTATACTTAAATAAAGTCATCACTAAGTTTTAGTTCTCAATCTATGATTTTTATAGGAAATTTATTATATGTCTAATCACGTTAAAGGGAATGATAGGAGGGATAAAAAGATACAGTTAAAAATTTAACAAATAATTGGAAAGGTAAGATTAACACACACAACACAATTATGTAGTGAGAAACAGAAATAGTCAAGTGCTGGATTGTATAGCAGCTAGTTACTGAGGCTGCAGAGAAACAAGTTAAAGCTTAGTTTCTGAGGAAGTAAACTGGTAAAACCTTCTTTTTCTCTTTTTAAGAAATTGACAATATTTATTAAATTTTCTTATCTGATTTTTATTTTCCAAAATGTGGATGTAAAATCTGAATATCAGCTTTATAGCCAGTTTTACTTTTCATTTTTAATTATTTTCATGGAAAATTTAAACATATACAAAAACTGTAAAATGCATCTTTCATGTTCACATCACCAAGCCACATGAATAGTTTTATTTTCTTAGGATGTTCTCCCCATAAAGATATTCACAAGATACTTCTCATACCTTTCAGGATTTAACTCAAATCACCTCACAACCACCTTCCGTGACCACTCTATTTAAAACTACCGCCTGAACTCCCTCTGCCTCTTCCCTTTTTCCTCATCATAATATTTACCACCTTCGAACAGGTTATACTTAAAAAATCATTTTAGGGGCGCCTGGGTGGCTCACTCAGTTAAGCGTCTGACTTTGGCTCAGGTCATGAGCTCACAGTCCATGGGTTCAAGCCCCGTGTCAGGCTCTGTGCTGACAGCTAGCTCAGAGCCTGGAGCCTGTTTCAGATTCTGTGCCTCCCTCTCTCTCTGACCTTCCCCTGCTCATGCTGTGTCTCTCTCTCAGAAATAAATAAAACATTAAAAAAAAACAATTTTATTTATCTGTTTGCAATCTAATAAATTTCATGAAGACAGGGCTTATCAAATGTCTTCTTCATTCCCAGTACCCAGAACAAGGCCTGCCACTAAGAAGGACTTAATAGTCAATGAATTAATATTTATTGACATGGGGAGATGTCCACGATATATTACATTTAAAAAAGAAACCTGCAACACAGTTTGGATAATATTATATCATACTGGAGGGTGGGGGGAGGAATGGCCTTGACAGAGGTAGTAGCACTCACCAAATACTCTGCACTCCGCTTCCACATCACAGCTGACTTGCAGCAGGGCAGAGCCATGGTTACTAGTTATGACTAATAAATTGTATATGGAAGAACATTGTGTCAATAATGGGCTGAGGTGGTAAAAAAAATCTATGTGTGATTTTATAGTCTCTTTTCATTGCTATGGTGACTAAAAGCACCAGGTATTGCAGAGCATGGCCACACATGGGCGAACCTCCATTAGCCTGGGCCCCTGAGTGACTACATGGAGAAAACACCCTGCTAATCTGTGTAAGAAATGCAGCATTAGCAAGAAATTTTTTTGTGTTAAGCCACTGAGATTTTGATGGATTGTTTGTTACTGCAATACAATCTAGCCTCTCCTGACCAATACACATATACAAACTAGCATTCACCAAGCACTTACTATACGCTAGTAATTATGGTGAACGCTTTACATCTTATCTTTTAAACCCTCACAAAACCTTGTAAGCCAGTACTATTATGATGAAATGAGGAAACTGAGGCAGCACAAGGACAAATAACTTGCCCAAGGTGGTCAGCTAAATGGAAAAGCTGGAAATGGAACCCAGGCAGTCTGGATGAAGATCTACCAAACTATTAACATAATATTAACATATTATTAAGAGGAATATTAATAAAAATCCATGAGGGCAGGGTTATAGGAACTGGTCATTTTTTGTTCTGCATTTCTGTAATGTTATAGATTTTAAAATAATCATTCATTACCTTTGCAGTAAGCAATAAACAAGTAAATGGGGAGACAAAATATATGTTGGATACTTAAAGACTGAATTCAGAGATGGAAGCCAAGTGAAACTGGAGAATGGTATAATCAAGGAATGCCTAAAAATGACTCTCTGTCACTCATAGCCATACCTGGTTTTGCAGGTGAATTCCAGCAAATAAGGTGAATCATAATATATTTCACAATAAAATTGTCTTAGTTTCTGGGTGGGGGCAGGAGGAGATGCCCACATATATTTTAACTTTCAGCAAGGAAGGAGTTAATAAAATAGGCTGTGGTAACAGCAGGATGAATGCTGTGGTTCTAGCAATGTTTACCAGGTTTTTCAGTATTTAATAGCACTCTTTAAAAGTAAGAATAATAGGGACGCCTGGGTGGCTCAATCAGTTGAGCGTCCGACTTTGGCTCAGGTCATGATCTCACGGTTCATGGGTTCGAGCCCCACGTCAGGCTCTGTGCTGACAGCTAGTTCAGAGCCTGGAACCTGCTTCAGATTCTGTATCTCCCTCTCTCTCTGACCCTCCCTGACTCACACACACACACTCTCTCTCTCTCTCTCTCTCAGAAATAAATAAAACATTAAAAAAAAAGAATAATAATGCAACTATTCCTTATAGCTAAAAGTGGCCTCATTAAATGTACATTTTAAATGTTCCATTCGATCATATTTAAACAAAATATATATGGCATAACATATGACAATCAAATGTACACGGGCTTTTCCTGGCTTCCCAGGATCTGGTTTTGGAAATTCAACAATGTAGGACTCTTGACAGGAGGAAACTGAAAGACCAAAATACTGGTTCCCCAGACTCTGGGCAGCTGGCTGTTGCCGGCTGCCTAGCCTCTCGTGGCCGCTCCCAGGTTTTGAGGCTGCTTGGCTCTCCAGCCTTCCCACTGATTCTGTAAGCTAACAATCCTTCCACGGCTCGTTTCTATGGCTTGGAAGCAGGAACCTGACTACCAAGCAGTAGCTACAGGCAACCACGTAATGTGAAGACACAGTACCTAGGAGAAAATGAGCCACCTTTGAAGATCTAAACATGACATACGTTGTTATCTAGAACATGGTAATAAATACACTTTGTGGTTCGATTGGATCTGAGATGTTTTCTATACCACCACGTTTCTCCGAGCTTTGATCCTTTGCTTCCCTTTCAGGAACTGCTGTCATATGTGAGTTTGCCTAACTCCACACATCAATATCCCTGTGCTTAACCACCAGTCATCTTTCTTTTATAACATCACACTTTTTAAAAAGTATCATTATGTAACATGATCTACTCAACAGTAAAAATGCTATAAATTTGTGGTTTAATATCATAAAAAACAAATTACTGAACTATCATATTGGTTTAAGTTCAAAAGTCTATAAAATATAACACAGCCTCACCTATAACAAAATGAAAATCACCTGAGTTTCATTTGTCTTATGGAAATAATAATGCCTGTCTTACCTCCCAGTATTAATATAAGGATCAAATGAAAAAAATTATGAACATGAACAGGTTTAAGGTATGTACCCTATTTCATCAAATCTTAAGATACATCTATTGTAAGACATACCATTAGTTTAGCACAAAAAAAAAAGAAAAAAGATGGCTAATTAAAAACTGTAACACACTTTCTTAACACTTAGAAATTCTATTTTATAACCTAGCCAAAGAGACATTTATGTAAGTAAATATGGATTGTCATATTTTGTCATACAAAATTTTTGTGCAAATATTTTGAGGAAAAAAATAAACTGGTAAAGTATTCCTAAAAGTTTTCATTGAACCCAACATTCCCAAATCATTTCTCAATTCAATCACTGATAGCCATGTTCTCCCACATAATATCATGATCTTTGCCAGTGGAAACATTGATGACACAGCATTTCTTATAAGAATTCACAAATTGCTTTTCTGGTTCAAGACAGTGACAAAAGAGAACCCTGAACTCACCTCCTCTCACAGACACACTGAATCTTCAGCTACATACAGGACAATTCCCTCTGAAAGAAATCTAGAAACTAGCTGAGTGACTCTTACACATGAGGCAAGTGAGAAAACACCCACTCTGAAACGAGTAGGAAAGCCTCAGACACAATCTCATCCCTGGAGCAGCGACACACAACTAGGAGGGAGCTCACAACTCCCAGCTTCTCCCTGAGGAGTGTAGGGTTTGGAGCCCACAGATGGCACCACAACTTTTAAGACCTCCACCTGAGAAATGGAGACCCAAAACATCTAGCTTTGAAAGCCAACAGGACTTGCATCCATGAGATTCAGTCTATAGTGAACTAATAGTTCTTACGGCATTTGTGTGGACTCACCATGGCTTAGCCCTCAGAGCGCAGCACAGAGGTAGCAGACTGAAACATGCCCCGCATTCCCATCAAAGAAGCTATTGCTTACCTTTAAAGCTGTGTCTTGAGGGGCAGGCTTCTAATTTAAAACACTTCCAGAGGCCAACTGCAATATTCTCCAGAAACCACGAGAGACTGGTAGAACATCTCCCTGTTCTCTCTCTGCCTCACTCCAGGTAGGTCATCAGTATCTCCCAAAAAGGAGCTCGTCCACATGTCTGGTGCCCCAGTTTTTGCAGCTGCTGCCAGAGGAAGTCCCTTAATGGAGTTTATGTTTGCAGGTACCACAAGACTGTAAGAGAGAAACCGTTCTTAAGCAGGTGTCCATCCCTCCACGGCACGGTGCAGAGGCGGCAGATTGATACACAGCCTTTTTGTGAAAGAGGCCTATTAGCTTATCTCCCAATGGCTGTGGCTTGAGGGGCAGGCTTCCATTATAACACACATCTAGGGGCCAATTGGCATCTTCTCCAGATACTAGAAAGGCCAGCAGGCACTATCTATGTGCTCTCCCTTTGTCCCACTCCAGATTACCGATGTCTTTGAGAAAGCAGTTTATGCACAATGGCTGTCACCCTGGCTTTTGTGGCTGCCACCCAGAGGACATATCTCTTGATAACCTGGCACTGGTAGCCAGTGGGACTTGTATTCATGGGTTCAATGGGTTGGTACCAAATAAAGAAACAATTCTTAACTGTCTAGCCCCCTCAGGGTTTGATGTGCAGAGGGAGCAGACAGAAATACACATCTCCCAGTCCGCCCCTGAGGAAGGTATACTTAGGTACTTAATTAATTTTTTTCTTGAGAGTGAGAGAACATGAGCAGGGGAGAGGCAGAGAGAGGGAGAGAGAGAATCTTTTCTTTTTTCAGTGTTCATTTATTTATTTTTAGAGATGGGGCTAAGAGCAGAGAGGGAGAGCAAGAATCTTGAGCAGGCCCTGCACTGTCAGTGTGGAGTCTGATGCAGGGCGCAACCTACGAACCATGAGATCATCACTGGAGCTGAAATCAAAAGTCTGATTAAGCCATTAAGATGGCTTAAATGAATGAGCCAACCAGGCGTGCCAAGAGGTAAATTCACATACATTAAAAGGAGGTGGATCAATGATGAAAATACCCAAATCTGAGATTCAGAAGGCCTTCCAGTCTACCTGATGCATGATCTTTGTGGTTCTAAGAAGCAAAAGTAATTTAGAACAGTAAGGGCTTATGTCTAGAGTTAGGAGTGCATGTGTGTGTGGATGTGTGTTCATAAAAGTAACAGTAAAATAATGAGAATTTGCTGATGGATGAATGAGATATGGTGGGGGTAATATGTATGTGTGTGATAGACTAATTAGTTCTGATCAATGATGAAAACATTTCACTACAGACCTTTATAACTATAAGGTTTCGACACTTGCTCTGAGTTCAGAATAAAAAATTCTTTAAAAGAAAGGAAAAAAAGATGCTCCTTGAAGGTCTGCTTCTAATCAGTCTGCATTTAGTGCTAACTGAGATCTTCCCCTTTGGGACAATGAGAAATACTGGCACACCCTCAGCTACTGGGAGCCACTCAGAACACAGGTCCACTTGGACAACCACAAAAATCTGAGAGAAACCCACAGGGAAGTCAGGATTGAATAACAAGGTTCATCTCCTAAATAAGACCACCCCTTCAGGACTGAGAAATGTGGTTGTTTTATCTAATGCACAGAAATCAACAGTGAGAGTCAAGAAAAATGAATAGAGGAACATGTTCCTAATAAAACAACAAACTAAAACCTCAGAAAAATTCCTTAGTGAAACAGACATAAGTGATTTACCCAACAAAAAGTTCAAAACAATGGTCATAAAGATGCTTGCTGAGGTCAGGAGAACAATGCATGAACAAAGTGAGCATTTCAACAGAAGATGAAAAGTATAAGAAAGAACCAAACAGAAATCACATAGCTGAAGAATTTAATAATTGAACTGAAAAATTCAAAAGAAGGTTGTAATAGCAGATGAAATGGAAGAAAAATCAGCACTCTAAGACAGGGCAGCAGAACTCATCCAATAAGATTTCATCCAATTATCGGGGCGCCTGGGTGGCTTAGTCGGTTAAGCGTCCGACTTTCGCTTAGGTCATGATCTCGCGGTTCGTGGGTTCGAGCCTCGCGTCGGGCTCTGTGCTGACTGCCAGCTCAGAGCCTGGAGCCTGTTTCAGAGTCTGTGACTCCCTCTCTCTCTGTCCCTCCCCTGCTCATGCTGTCTCTCTCTCCTAGAAATAAATTAAAAAAAAAAAAAAAGAATTCATCCAATTATCATCCAATAAGCAAAAAGGAAAAAAATAGCTTAAAGGGACAAATAGGACAACACCAAGTGGTCCCAGAAGGAGAGAATATAACATACCAGAATTTATGGGATGCAGCAAAAGTGGTTTTTAAGAGGGAAGTTCATCGTGCTAAACACCTATATTGAGAAATAAGAAAGATCTCCAGTAAACAACCTAACTTTATACCTTACGAAACCAGAAAAAGGACTAAGCCCAAAGCTAGTAGAAGGAAGGAATTAACAAATATCAGAGCAGAAATAAAGCAGAAACTAAAAAGATAATAGAAAAGACCAATGAAACCAAGAGCTGGTTTTTGAAAAGACAAACATTTAGCTAGGTTCACCAAGAAAAAAAAAAAGAGAGAAAACTCAAAATAAAATCATATAGAAGAGATGTCACAACTGACACAACGTAAATACATATACGAGTACTATGAACAGTTTTATACCAACAAACTAGACAATGGTAGAAGAAATGGATACATTCGTACAAACATACAACCGACAAAGACTGAATTATGAAGAAATAGAAAATCTGAATAGACTAGTTACTAGTAAGGAGATTGAATCAGTAATCAAAAATCTCCAACAAGCAAAAGTCCAGATGGCTTCCCTGGTGAATTCTATCAAATGTTTAAAGAATTAATACCAATCTTTCTCAAACTCTTACAAAAAACTGAAGAGGAGGGAGCACTTCCAAACTTATTTTATGAGGCCAGCGTTTAATATCAAAACCAGATAAAGGCACTACAACAAAAGGAAAATACAGATTAATATCCCTAATGAACACAGATGCAAAAATCCTCAACAAGATATTAGCAAGCTGAATTCAACAATACATTAAAAGGATGAAGAAAAAGCATTTGACAAAACACAACATCCATCCATGATAAAAACTCTCAACAGAATGAGTACAGAGGGAAAATATCTTAACATACTAAAGGCAAGATACAATGAATCCACATCTCACATCATACTCAGTGGTGAAAAACTGAGAGCTTTTCCTCTAAGATCAGGAACAAGACAAGGATGTCTACTCTTACAACTTTCAATTAAAATAGTACTGGGTTGGGGCGCCTGGGTGGCTTAGTCGGTTAAGCGTCCGACTTTCGCTTAGGTCATGATCTCGCGGTTCATGGGTTCGAGCCCCGCGTCGGGCTCTGTGCTGACTGCCAGCTCAGAGCCTGGAGCCTGTTTCAGTCTGTGACTCCCTCTCTCTCTGACCCTCCCCTGCTCACGCTGTCTCTCTCTCTCTCTCTCCTAGAAATAAATAAAAACCTTAAAAAAAAATTTAAAATAGTACTGGGAGTCCTAGCTAGAGCAATTATGTAAGATAAAGTAATAAAAAGCAATCAAATCAGAAAGGAAGTAAATTGTCTCTATGTGCAGATGATATGATACTACATATAGAAAACTCTAAAAACGTCACCAAAAAAACTCATTAGAATAAAAATTCAGTAAGTCATAGGATACAAAATCAATATACAAAAATCAATTGAGTTTCTATACACTAATAACAAATTATCTGAAAGAGAATTTAAGAATACAGTTCAATTTACAATTGCTTCAAAAGAACAAAATGCCTACTCTAAACAAAGCAGGTATTGGCATTGGCATTGGTATAAAAACAGCCACATAAATCAATGAAATAGAACAAAGAGCCCAGAAATAAACCCATGCATATATGGTCAACTTATGACAAAGGAGCCAAGAACATAAACTAGGAAAAAGATAGTCTCTTCAACAAATGGTTCTGGAAAAACTGGGCAATGCCATGCAAAAGATTGAAATGGGACCACTATTTTTACCATATACGATAATCAACTCAAAATGGATTAAAGACTTGAATGTAAGTCCTGAAACCATAAAAGTCCCAGAGAAAATATACATAAAGGGTAAGCTCCTTGACATCAGTCTTTGCAATGATTTTTTGGATTTGACCCAAAAGGAAAGGCAACAAAAGCAAAAGCAAACAATTGGGACTACATCAAACTAAAAACCTTTTGCACAGCAAAAGAAACTATCAGCAAAACAAAGGGGCAGCCTCCCAAATGGGAGAAGATATTTGCAAATCATATTAAAAAAAATTTTTTTTAATGTTTGGTTATTTTTGAGAGAGAGAGAGAGAGAGAGAGAAACAAGTGTGAGCAGGGAAGAGGCAGAGAGAAAGAGGGAGACACAGAATCTAAAGCAGGCTTCAGGCTCTGAGCTGCTGGTACAGAGCCCAATATGGGGCTCAAGCTCATGAACCATGAGATCTTGACCTGAGCTGAAGTCAGACACTTAACCAACTGAGCCGCCCAGGTGTCCCACAGATATTTCTAATAAAGGGCTAATACCAAAATAAATTAAAAATTCATTCAAACTGATAGCAAAAACCAATCAATCTGATTTTAAAAATGGTCTAAAAACCTGAACAGATATTTTGCTAAAGAAGACATATAGATGACCAACAGACATATGAAAAGATGCTCAATATCACTTATCATAAGGGGAATACAAATCAAAACCACAATGAGCTATCAATTCACACCTGTTAGAACAGCTATTATCAAAAAGATAAGAGATAACAACTGTTGGTGAAGATGTGGAGAAATGGGAACCCTCCTCGTGCACTGTTGGTGAGAATGCAAATCGGTATAGCCAATTTATGGAAAAGCGCTTTCCTTAAAAAAAACAAAAAACAAAAACAAAAACAGAGAGGTGAGGGAAGATCACAGTGGAGTAGGAGGATCCTAGACTCACCTCTTCCCACAAAAACAGTAAGTATCAAATCATCCTCAACACCCCAGAAATCAACCTGAAGACTGGCAGAACAAACTCCACACATAAAGGTAGAGAAGAGGTCACATTAAAGAAGGGAGGAGGTGTGGAGAGAGAGCCTGGAAGAGAAATAGATCCCAGCCATGTGGTGGGGAGGGAGTCACACTTGTGGAGAGGATGAGAGAGAAAGACTAGCATGTAGAGGAGTGCACAGGGGAGATGATTCCCCATAGCAATTGGTTTGGAAAGTGAGAGGGGCTGCCTTTCATGAGTTCTTACAATGAGTGGTGGCTAAAGCCTGGAGTTTTAAAGGTCAGCAAGCTTGGCTCTGGGAGATCCCAGAGGCACCGGAGCTGCTCTTGGGGAGAAAGCAGGGAAAACAGCCTACAACATACAGCATGGAAATAGCAATCTAAGGAGTGTGTGGTGCACATGGGGGAGGTTATTTGCTTTTCTTGGAGTGTGTCCCAGAGAGACAGCATTCAGAGAGAGACCCCTCCAGGAACAAAGGGACCAGCAGGTGACATTTCCCTCCCTCACTGCTCAGCATATAAGCACCACCTGTAGCATACAGGGCCACCTGTAGAAACCAGCACAGAGCCACCACTTGCTACGTAACTTACTATACCAAGCCCCGCCCTCCCAAGCTCTGGTGGAATCACCCTTCCCAGTCATGCTTGCCTCAGTCACAGTGAGGTAGGTCCCCTTCTCCAGAAGACTGGCCCAAACACCTGCCCACACCCCATCTCCCAACCCTGGAGTTTTCCAGGGCCTCAGTTCCAGCAGCGGGTCTCAGTTCACAAGCAGACAAGGGCACACCTAGTTAAAACTCGCCACATTCAGGCCAGGAACCAAATAGTGGCCATGACAGTCAAAGACGGCCTCTACAGATGACTAGCCTTAAGGAAAAATTGGCTAAGACATAACAGCAGAACACTTGCAAAACACACTGGAGACACTGTCAGAAGCACCAGACCCTGGCGAACAAGGGACACAACATGGCAGAGCACTACAGGATCTCTTCTTCATAAGGCCATTACCCTCAAGAACAGGAGAAACATCTGACTTTCCTAACACACAGAAGCAGACACAAAGAGTTAGACAAAATGATAAGACAGAGGAATTTGTCCCAAATGAAAGAACAGGGCAAACCCATTGCCAGAGATGTAAGTGAAAAAGATATGACTAACATGCCTGATGAAAAATTTAAAGCAATGATCATAAGGATACTCACTGGACTTGAGAAAAGAATGGAAAACATGAGCAAGACCCTTAGCAGAGAATAAGGAATAGCACAGCAGAGATAAGGGTTCAATAAATGACACGTGAAACATGCCCGAGAGGATTAACAGCAG